TTATTTTCAGGAAGTAAAAAAAAGAAAGTTAAATTTAAAGTGTTGGCACTTTAAAATCACTTGTGTGCAAGCAATGTGAAGGTCCTACAAGAACAAAGTACTTGAAAATAATTACTGTACCCCATTAATTGCTCGAGATGTACAGTGATGTAAATAAAAATGGAATTAGTTATTTTTCCCCCATATATACACTTGAAAATTTTATAAGTTCTGGAGAGACAGAAGTACTTCACCAATGTTATCCTCAGAACCTTAGACAAGTACGTGAAGAAGCTACCATTCCATTTTCTTCCTCAAAAAGATTGTCTGACATTTCTCCTGTCTGAGTTTCTATTTATCCTTTTAAACCAAACACTCAGGAAATTACTTTTTTATTAATAATGAGTTCTAAAATTTGTATTTATAAAGTAAATGTAGGGATAGCCCTTTTAAAATGTGGTGGTCTTGTGTTTGATAACACAAAACCTTTCATAACATTTAAAATATTGTTTGTTTAACATTTTAAATATTGTTGCAAAAGTTATCACACCGTATCAGATCAAAGGCTTATCTAGCCTGATGTATCTCTGAGATTGGCTACTAGTGGATGTCTAGGGAAGACTGCAAGAACCAGGATACTATGGTGATACTACCATATTTTGTTTGATCAAAATGAGTTTCATGATGGAATTGTGCATCTTGAGAAATACCTTCTTTTGGTTTTAATCTATTCAAACCAGAAAGTTTATTTGTTATCCCCTTGTACCAGAAGTAACAACAATGTAAACCCTGTTTACTTTCTTATACCATTAATGATTTTTATAGGTTTGTGACATTAATTCCTGAGTTGTCCTTTCTACTAATCTATTTAGCCATTATTTGTTACTGAAGGCCGTTCTCTCTCTATGCTAGTTTTTGTAACCCTTTTCTGTATCATTTGTATTTCTACCATGTCTTTTTGAGTTGGGTGAATCAGAATGATATGAAGTAATCAAAGTCCTGATACAGTGTTTTTATGCAGTGACATAATGAAAATGATTTCTGGTTTTTGGTGTGTTTTTTGGCAGGGGGGGAGGGGTGTGTGTCTTGGTTTTATGGGGGGTTTTTTGTTTGTTTGTTTTAAGCCTGTGAGGACTTGGTTGCTTTCTGGCCAGTGCTGAGCTAATATTTTATAGAATGACCTATTACAGCTGAAGTCCATTCCTGAGGGATAATGATTCAAAGGTCATCTATACACAACTCTACACACAGATATGAACTGATTTTTCATCTTTCATTTTAGTTCTTCATTAGACAGTGTCTTGATGTCCTTCAGTTCATTGCTGTCAGCTTTTGTACTATATGTGCAGACTTTGTTACCGCACTTTCCACTTTGTTTTCCAAGTCGCTTATGAATATATTAAACTGTATGAACTCTGCCCTGAGTCCCAATTAGGTCTCCGATCATTCTTTCACTTAGAAACTGATTGCCTAGTCTTACTATAAGTTTCTTCTCTTTAAACAGGGTGGTGACTCATATGATGAACTTTCTTCTTCCACGCAGCATAGTATCTTTGAAAAATTTTGAGGACCTTGTTGAATGCCATTTGGAAATCCACATTGACTGGATCAACTGTGTAACAATTAGAACTGGTTCTCTCTTGCCTGGGTGTTTGTTTACATCTTCGAACTATCTTTAATAAATGTCTGAGGCACAGTTTCTCTTTCCAAAAGCCATGTTAGTACACTTTTACTTTGATTACATTCATCCATATGTCTGCAGCTTTATTTACCATCCTATTATTATTTCTGCCAGTTTGCCTGATACGAATGTTGTTTTTTTACTGGCCTCTAGTTGCAGGGATCCCTGCTGTAGCCCTTGCAAAGAATTCAGATTACTATTTTCATTTTCCATTCCTTTGCTACAAGGTTATTATAAGTGAGATGTTACATGCTACTGTTAATAATTAAACTGTTGCATTCTTGAACTTCTTTAGAACTGCTGGAAGAATGTCATCTGTTCCTGATGACTTGTTATATTAATTTGTGGATTTGTTTGATAGCCTGTTCTACTAATGCTGTTGTATGAAACAGATCAGCGCTTCCTCTTACAAAGAAGGTACCTGATTTGTGAGTCTGCTTAAGCTCCTGTGTTGTGAACAACAGATTGAAAAAAAGAAAGTCAGTATTTTCCTTGCAGAGTACTCTAAACAATTCTTACATACTCTGATCATTTGTTGACCTTAAAGTCTCTAGTAAGCTGTCTTTTGATAAAAGGTTTAGCATTAATTTTTATGTCTTTAATGTACCAGAATTTACAGTCTTATCTATCTAATCATTTGATCGTGATTGTGACTTTCTAAAAGAATACTTTCTTTGCTAATTATAATAGTCACTTTACCTGCTGTTTTAATTAGGACCATGATATCTTTCAAGGTGGCATGGAGTCCACTTCTCTTTTAAAATAGGTCCTCTTCTTGAAATTAATTACAGCTGTAGTGAATTTTTTTACTTTGTGGCTCCTAGAAGGAGATCATATCTTGACTATATTATGTAGACTGTTATAAAGTGGTCCTCCAGCAGAAAAGTTTTGATCTAAGATCTGCAAACTGCTTATGATTAAGTCAGGAGTTTTTCATAGTAGCTTTTCCCTTAAGCAGTAATTTTATGATGTTTGTAGATCTGTTTATTGTCATCACAATTCCCAGCATAATATTTGCCCAATCAGTAAAGGAATATTTGAAGTTTCCTATTATTTTTTTCTTTCCTCTGCCTTCACAGACTTTGTGATTTCACTTAGCATGTTGCAGCCAGTCAACCATTTCTTGGGTGGTTGGTAGTATAGATGTAAGAATGTACTTTCCCACTTAAACCTTAAACTTCAGTCTATCAGGGTTTTATAGTAAGCATTCCTGCAGGTAACTAGGCTTGCTTTGCTTATAGAAACAATCCTCTGTGGGTTGGGCATGACCTATTCTGTTTCACAGAATGTGGGTTCTTTTTCCTTGTGTTGTGATCTGTAAAGATTGTTGAAGAAACCGCTATCTTCCTGAAGGCAATCCCATGCTTTTGCTAAGCTAAAGCAAAAGCTATATAATGCTTTTTTAGAGATCTGTAGAAAATGACATGTGGGATTCTGACATTACATTCAAAGAAAACTGATCTGCTTATAACTCACCTTGTCACAGGTACATTGGATGGGAAAACCTGAGAGAGGTACTACATATGTTTTGCATTTCATTAGTAATATTCAATTTTCAAATAATTTATCTTGTGTACCATCTTACTAGTCTTAAGTGGAATTTTTCTGCCTCTTTCAAAAATATACAAACAAAAAACCTTCTGCAAAATAACTAGAGAATTTTTTTCAGCATTTTTAATACTATATTATAATTTTTGTATCTGGAAGTGCATGCTCCAGGCATATCTCCATGACTGGTTGAGTTGGGAAGCCTTTTCTCTAAACTTGAAATGAGTTGGAACAGAATAAAAAAGCTAAATGAAATTAAAAAGAAGTTAAGGTGAAAGAAGGGTTAAACAGAGAAGAATAATTTGGGAGAATGTGGGTGTAGATAGCATTTCAGAGGAAATATGGTAGATTTACAGATTTCAGAATTGGAAATATAGATTATTTTGGAAATAGAGTATAAATGGCATGTATGTGCCTTTTACAAAAGACAGAAATGTTACATTGCAGAGAAAGAGGGAGAGAGGTGAGAAGTACTTTAGAAGATTTTGGACATGCTGATCAACTAAATCTTAAATTCTATTCTAGATAGAATGAGAAGATTCTTACAGTCATTGAATGATGTTTTGCCAAGTAGAAAATGAGTTGAGGTGATTTTGCATTTTTTTAAATGGTGCAGTGTTTTTAGATGAGAGAAGGTATTATCTTTAGAGCATCTTTTGCATTTTTATAGTTTTAATAATAATACTTGTCAAAATAAAATGGGTTTGATAGTTTTAAAGCAGAATAAAAATATTTCTAAAAAATTAGCTTTCTAAAGTCACACCTGATTTTCAACTGTGTGAGTATAACAGTGCCACATAGGTTCTACTTGAAAACCTCCTCTTTTCTACCTCTTAAATGTTCAGTGTTTCTTCTTATCTGTTTTAGCATGTACCGTGGAAGGGTAAAGAGAGAAGTGTTGTCTTGCTATTTTAAGCAAGAAATAAAATTTTGGGTTTAATTTTAGACGGGCATTTCAGAGGCCGCTATGAATTTAAGAGTAAGATGTACAATGGACTGTTTGTTTAGAAATTAGTGCTTACACTCTTTGCCACGCTTGCAAGTTGCTTAACTGGTATTACAGCTGCTAATAGTCCACTCTACTTGCAAATAGTAGAATATATTGTTAGAATGGCTATAACTCTTCTGTTACAGGGTGGGAGTCATAATAAAAATGGAGAAGAGAGTTCATAAAAGTGAAAAAAATGAAGATGAATTTGTAATTGAATAAAAGGTCTTTGTTAATAGTAAAGACGATTATTAAAGTTTACCCCAGAATGATCTTTGAACTATTTTAATGTGTGAAATGACACATGAATTGGTAAATATTTCCCTTATAAAACGCAGCATTTCTTCTGTCCATTGCAAACCCAGAATTAATTGCATATTATTTATGTGATTCATTCTTGAGCTCAGCATATTTATTATGGAAAGTTAAAAGCTTTTTTTCTTTTTCTCCTTGACAGAAAGTAGTAACATTGTCTATCATCATTCCTGAATGTTAATGACAATACATCTAGCTTAATTGCAATCCAATATATTATTTATATCAGAATTATAATTTCAGATTGTTTTTTATTCTTTTCACAGAATATAAACCAAGAATGATGCGATATTAATGTGTTCTATGTACAACCCCATAAGGATCTTCTTTAAGGAGCTGCAGTAAGATAAACACTGAGAACAATTTTTCTCCGGTACAATGTGGTGAAGCAGAGGAACTGAAATTGTCCGCTTTTGTACAGGCCAAGGACTTAAAATGTTTGTTATTTTGTGAGCAGAAGCAGTTCTGGAGTGAATTGAACTTCTGAAAATGCGGCCATGGACTGGTTCCTGGCGTTGGATTATGCTCATCCTCTTTGCTTGGGGAACTTTACTCTTTTATATTGGTGGACACCTGGTACGAGACAATGAGCATCCAGATCACTCTAGTCGCGAATTATCCAAGATACTTGCTAAACTTGAACGTTTAAAGCAACAAAATGAAGACTTAAGGCGGATGGCAGAATCTCTCAGGTAGGATCTAAAAGTGATTAAGACTTTTCAGAAAATGGTTATATGAAATACCAAAAATTAAATAGAAAGTTGTTAGTGTTTTTTTTTTTTTTTTTGTAAAATAGTGTTTAACATTTAAAAGTATAGAAATTGTTTTAATCAGTGCTGTAACTGAAAATATATTGCAAAAACCTTTAAACAAATAACATACATTTAGTTTTGGTCTAATGTAGTCATTATTTAATGGTGTCCAAGTGTTACTGTCATGATAACAGAGCTCTGTAGGTGATTAACTCCTCGCTGCCAACTTCAAACAAGTGCAATTATTATGACGTTCAAACCAGTTAGAACAGCTAGTGACTTTTCTGCACTTCTGCATGCAGTAACTGGAAGAGCTTGTTTTAAAAGTGCTGAAAACATTTGTACAGCTTGTTGAAGATAAATGTGGACTTGCTGAAGATGAGCTGCAGTAGACTGCTGCATTATATGAATTCTTTTAACTAGGGTTTTTTTTCCTTGCCTTGCTGCTAAACTTGTAGCAATACTTGTAAAATAGTAGGATCATCTCCCTTTTTATAGTTTTTGGTACATTACAGATTGATACAATTACAATTTAAAGTGTTTTCTTTCACCTCTTCAGACAGACAGCTTTTAATGTAGACTTCTGGTACCTCCTTTCCCAAGAACTTGCAAGGGACAGCTTCTTAGGCAGGATGTGATGCCAGAGTCAGATTGGACCGAAGTATATGGACATCACCACACACAGCCTAAAAGTGCTGATGGATCATGGACACAAGTGTAGAGGCTTCGTATGTTTTAGGAAGCTAGAGAAGAGCAAAGCTCAAGACAAGATTTTACAGAATGGGAGGGTGATGTTTATTTTTGAAATCTTTAAGTGAGCTGAATTTACTTACTGTCTCTTTTACAACCACATACTCACAAGCACCAGGACGTGTGTGTAGAAGTGGTCTGGCCAGGATTACCTGTGTAGAACATGGAGAGCAAGGGGCACTGGCAGTTGAGTCTCCATCATGTCTCTTGGGTCGTTCTTGCTTGGCAATGAGAAACTGATTTTGGGCTTGCCTTTTAATATACTTTAGGAGCAGATGCCATTTTGGATCTTCTACCTTACTGTTTTGCTTCATAAATCAGAGGAAAAGTTACTGAATTGCACAAATCTCTTTATTTTTCTTAATAAGGTGTTTTATGGTTCTTGTCCTGTTCTTGTTACCTTATCTTTAGGTAAGTTTGTTTCTCCCCTTCATTTGAATGAAATCACACATGTGGACTCTGAAGCAGTAAAATGAATACCTTTCCTCTTAACCCTGTTCTGATGTTTCTTGTGGTGCATTCTCTCTCTTTCATGCATAGCCAAGGCTATTTGATCTGGTAGGCTGGGTAGACTTCCCTGCCTGACTGAAATTTCTGTTCATTGCACTCTGTTCCTGGTTTCTGGAATGCACTGAAGATACGGCTGCATGCTGATGAGGCGTCTTAGCTTAGGCTCAGTGTTCTGAAAACAAATGTCTTAATTCTGAACGTGTCACCCCTGAGGAAGTACCTAGGCATTCATGTGGTGCTGCACAGAGGTGGAGAAATGCTGCTGACCCAAGCGCCCTCTACACTAAGCATGAATAATATGGCCATGAACAGCTGAGCTGTCTGTAGTTTTCTAAACTGGATTTATTCATATATAATAACAACTGCATTGGCAAAAAGTTTAATGCATTTTTGCTGACAAAATGGTGTAATGGAGAATATGCTGCTATGAAGAAAATTAAGCAAAAGTCTATATTTGAATAAACACAATATCTTTAAATTCCTTTAATATTAGACAATAATAGTGAACCTTAGGGTTTCTTGCCTCAGAGGGGGAAATATTTGGCCTTGAATGTAAAGATTACCACCCTGCATGCTTTCAGCCCCCCATGTTAGGCTGACTTGAATAAATGGTAATGTAATTTATTGCACAGTCATTGAAATGTGACCAATTCAAATTACACAGTGACTAGAAGAGACTAAATGTTCTTGATTTTACTGATGGCGGTACTCTTTTCCTCTCAAGAAGGAGGCAATAGATACAGTAGATGCATAGATACAGGCTAAGCGATATTTTAGGCAGTGATGATTTTTCTAAACACCTTTCTCTGTTTCCCTAACCTACCTATGTTCAGACAAATATTACATTTTTAGTGGCCAACTTTTAAATAATAGCTTATACTGTTGATAATTTTCCATGATTTATAGAAATAAAAACATTAGTTTAGTGCTAATCTAAACATGTTAGAACATTCCAACATTCCTTCTCTATGCTTCAGTTAATTGCTGCAAGTTTCTAGAATTGGATTAGGTGATCCAAAACTGTCTTAACTGGACTCTGTTCAGTTTCTTTTGTGTGAATATGTTGCTGAAAAATATTTCTGAGAACTTTCTTCAAAGTAGTTCTATGTAACCACAGGAGAATCTGAGACTCTTGCACGAGAAAGCCTAAAATGAATTTAAATGCCAATTTGAACAGCAACGCATCTCCAGGTTCAGTAGTCAGTGCTGGCCAAAAATGAGCCAGCTTGGGACTGGAAGATATTCAGGCATAGTTTTTGCTGGAAGTGATCTGACATTGGTGAAGTACCAGATTTGAGGGAAGTGATGTATCACAATGTAGAGCCTTTTCATTATTTTTATACAGCAAAACACATGATACTGTTTTTCTAGAAACTTCACAAATAGGTTTGAGATATATCCTGGTCAACCTGCATCATTAAAGTATTAAATCATAAATGTGATATAGAATTTCAGTATCTCATTTCTTTGTTTGCCAGATAGAGCAAGTGGTGTTAAAAACAGCTTTAAAATAGTCCCATTTGCAGTTTTATAGCAATATGGCTATTTAAAATAAGGCAGTAGCCAACAGTCCATGGATCCAGTGTCTGTGCCCTGGAAGAGGTCACTGCTGCTATGAACATATAGTAAAGAAACAAAACACCTCTTAACTTCAGAAATTGAATTAGAATTAGACAGAAAAGATTACTTTTGCTCCAGTTAACAACGTAAAGTGAAGACATAATTTGTTTTGGGCTTTACAGATCAAAGGCAGAAAGGCTGGAACTATTATTTGAATATGATTTAATTGCTAGAAGTTTTGGTTTTGTACTGAAAACTCTTAATTACTGATGCTGGCTGTGAAATCTGAGTGGCTAAGATGACAGTCTTTGCATCAGTGTAGCTCGTAAAGGTAAACCCTATTGCCAAGTTGGATTTTGTTACACTGAGGTAAAAACTTGTTTTTGCCATCCTTCTCCACTAAGATTTTATATCTAGAGAACTAGAAGGTTTTTTTTATTCCAACAGAAAAGAAGCACACTTTTTATGAAGATACAGAATATATTATGGCACGCAACAGGGTTAAGCTAATGCATGAATTTAAGCATGTTTCAGTAATAACTCTAACTTAAGGTTACTTTTGGAGGAGTTTAAATAAGATGAGAGTGCCTACCTGGAAAATTATAACAATAAACAGGCATCTGATTTACTAAACTAGTTAAAGTATTTTGACATAATTAGATAAAACTTTTGGATTGTAAAAAGCTCCAAGTTAACAGAATTTATCTTAGTGGGCGAAGAAACTTTGTGAACGGTAGAAAATTAGCATAATATCTAGCTGTGCCATTAATAATAGCTAGTTAGGGCAGGAAAGAAGGGACAGAAAGCAGATATGGTTACAAGAATTCAGTAGTTTAATAAAAGTATAAGTTGTAACAATTTCCATTTTGAAGTTAGAGAAAACTGGTATTTCATCTTCAGTTACATGAGGCCCTTGGTTATATGGTAAAATACATTTCAATACAATACATTTCGATTGCTTGGCATTTCCCATTATAATGGGTTCTTGTGACTTCTCTGACTTTCTTCTCACCTGGTAAAAGTGTCAGTCCTCTGGGATGGTTGAAAATAGGACCTGGACTGTGCTTAGTTTCAACTGTGAAGGCCAGCATACAACCACAAGAAGTGATCTTTCACTCCAAGATTTAAATGCTCTTTTACTGCCAATTTATGTAGCAGCTCCTCATCCCCAAAGACAACAACAACAACAAAAAAAGAAAACCAAAGACATCCCTTATGAAACACACCCTATGTGCATGCAAAATCAACCATTCAAAAGTTGAGAAATGTCATGTCTGTGACAAACCTTTATAAAATCTTGCTTAGCCCTTTTTTGCTGTATGATACTGAAATCGTATTTGATCTTGTAATTTTTGCCCTGGTTGCTTCTTTTCACACAGGGTCTGTGAGGAGTAGAATTAAGGTTTTAGGGCAGTAAGAAGTCTGTCTTTTTTTTTTTTGTTTGTTTTTGTTTGGTTTGGTGGTTTGTTCCCCGCCCCCCCATCTGTATGTTCAATTTCACAATCTACATCATGTTCTTCTGATTATTATTGTTATTATTATTTTATGATGATGATGATGATGTTTTCCAATATTTGTAATTTACTACCAATATTGGTTAAGAATAGTTCATATTTTTGTAAGGATTTTTGGTGAGGTTATTTTGAGATACTTTTTTTTAATATGTACCTTGGCAATAGTGCAAGTTGGAACAGTCACATCTTTTTGAAAATTGCCTGAAATAAAAATAGTGCTTTAGGAACTGAGTACACTTTTTGTGGTGCACTTCTGATGACTTGAAATGACTTCAGGCACCACTTCCATTTTACAGTGCATTTGGAAAGCCTTAGGTGAGAAGTTACCTTAGTTTTTCTTTTGCCAATATGATGCTTTGTAAAAAACCGTACTTGGGGGCTATAAAGAGGCACAGATGTATATTAGCGATGCAGAAGATAAATGGATTTAAAGATGTTTTGTATTGCCTGAGTTTTAGAAATTATGTGCATGAATATTGTGTTATAATGAGATTTGGAGAGTTACTGTAGTCCTTACATGCTTATAAACAATATTGTGTGAGCAAATCTGGGTTGATTTTAGAAGCAGCCTAGGTCCCATTAGTGCAAAATAGTAATAAAACTGAGGGGTTTTTTATAGATTCTTATTTTACTATTCTATATCCAGTAGAACTGGAAGAGCCCTTTCAAGAACACTTATTACAGATGTTGTAGATCTCGCAGCAAAAAGGGAAATCTTTACAATTTTTGTAGTTAGTTAAGGGAAACTCTGTAGGGAGTAATAATCAAATGATAGTATTACGTAATGTTGTTTCATTGCTTGCCTGTAATGTAGTTTTACCTGAACGTTTTATTTACTAGTAGGATTATAATATGACTGCTAAAGGCTGTCACTGTTGCATCTAGATGATACAAGGCTTTTAGGAGGAGGAGAGCTTAAAATTACAGCTTTTATAATGTATGATTTTCTTAAATGGAAACTGGAAGACTTGTGTGTATGCCTTCATCTGTGTCCTAGACTTGCTTTTTTGCAATACATTATTGGTTCCTAGTATTCATGTGCTCCTTTGTGTCTTGGTGGGTGATAGTCAAATTTTTATCTTTTATTGTATATTAGTGCTATCCTCTCCTGGAAGATAAGCCTGGAAGTATAGGAACCAGTAATTTCAGAGTTCTCTTCAGGGAAATAGAGCATCTTGTTAAATGTATTCAGATTGTCTTCATATTACTAATACATCACATTCCGTATATGTGTACTTTCCAGAGTCTATTAAATATTACATTTTGTAGAACCTGCAATTCTTCTAATAAATAAGATAACCTGTTTCTTATCTGAGTAGGATCATGTGTTATAAAGTAGAACAGGAATGGAAAAGGGCGAAATGTAATCAAACAAATAAAACCAAACACCAGTATTTCTAGACTTTTTCTCATACTTGTGAGTGTAGCTTCAGAAAGAAGAGGTGGGATTTTAATTTTGAAAGAGCACTATAGTTGCTTTAATGTAGTTGGTGCTGAGGCTGGGAGAGAGTCCAAACTCAGGACCAATTAATTGTAAGCAACTCTGTTAAAGTACTTCTATCAATTACTCTGGGCAGTTGTTGGGCCCAGTAAGCCTGTAGTAAGCATTGAAAGGGACTTGGATACAAGAATAGCTTTGGGTTGATAAAAATTTAAATCTTATTTTAAAGTACTGTTCTCTGTTGCATGTATTTAAAGTGTCTCAAGTTTGAAGCTGGGGCTATTGCACAGGCCAATGTGTGAGGGAGGAAAATCATTGAACTATATGGTTTGCATCTCTGCTCTTTTTATTGGTTTTTGTGCAATTCTAACCTAAGGGAAGAGACACATCTTCAGTGCATATAAATCAGCACTGATTAGGGCTGTGCTGATTTAAATTGCTAAGGGATGCTGCTCACTCTTTATTTGCAGGTAACATTGAGTGTTTTATTTCGGTTTTATTTACTGAGGAGGTTTTATCTTAGAAGGGCGAAGTGACATATATTCTTTTTGTTTGTTTGTGTGTTTTAATGGTCATTATAATTAAACATAATTTTCTTCTTGAAGGAAAAAAAAAAGTGAAAGAAGAAAAGCCAATCATGATGTGGCTTTAGTTAGTTATAAACCTTCCAGCTCCACACAAAGAACCCAGAGAGATATAAATGAAAGAATGAGAAAATATTCGAGTGTGAACTTACAAAATTTTACATATTCCCTTTTGCTGATAAATTAGTGTAACTTTTTAAAAATACCTTGCAAATAGGAAAAGGTTAGAATGCTTTTTATAAATTTTTTTGTATGCTTAAAAATTTTTTTACAATTATTTTACACAATATGGCAGTTCTTCCAGCTAAATTGAATGTCACTGCAATTAATTTTTGAGTGGTTCTTTTTGCCTTCGGAGATTCATATTAGAGATTTCTACTTTGCCATTGCCCATCTATGTTACCTGAAGGTGATGAGACAAGGCCTCAGTGATAGGGATGATGTATACAGAATTCTTTTTTCTGACTTTAAGTGTAGCTGGATTACTAAACAAGGGGACAAAGCAGAAAAGGGTTATCTGTACAACATAATCTTTTTGATGTTTAGAGTTATACAGTAATATCTTTATTTGATATGAGTTCATTATGGAAAAGATCATTTATATTTACTATAAAATGGTAGGAAACGGCATGCAAAAATCACACCTTGTAAATATTGAGAAAAATTATTCAAACAAACCCTCTATTTGGTGTATTATCATGGCTGCACATGTAAGTGGATTATTATTTCGTTTATTTTGTATTTATAACTTAATTTACCATGTTGTCATAGCAATAAGTGAAGGATATTCTTTTCTGGATGCTCACTGACATGTTCTTTTATTGATAATTAGAATCATCCTAGTTTAGACAAACATACTTTTAACACACTGAATAGATGATCCCGTGAGTATAGATAAGGATTTTAATTCAAACACTTTTCCCTCAAATGTTGCCTTATCTCCAACTCAGTTGATGTACTTGTAGAGGGCAGTAACAAGCAAGCTGTGCTGGTTGCAGAGAAGAACATTTTCCTTAATTTTGAGACTGGATGAAAGTGAGGAAGACAGCAATTCCAAGTCTGATGAGGTAACAGATGTAGAGACAAAATTGCAAAAAGAATAAGTTATCTTAGTTTTATCCTAAAATGATGTAGTTTTTAAAAGCCCAAACAACTGGCTTGAGAGAATGCCCCCCACCATCCTAGCTCATTTTATCTAACAACCTAAGTATAGTGAACATTTTTATTGCAGTATGCCAAAGCAAGTTGAATGTTAAATGGCATGTACTTTTCTTTTTTAAAATCTTAATTATATCAAATGGTCAGAATTATTGTGCTTCTTTCATATCATCCGCAACCGTCCTTCTGTAGGATTCTGTAATTGCTACTTTAGCAAACTTCCCTTATGTTCAGAGGATGTGCGGGCTGTCTGAAGATTTCCTATGGTAATGATTTTGTATCCTTTTACCTTATTGTTCTTTGCAAATTCTACGCCTTTTACCTTATTGTTCTTCACAAATTCTATGTTTAGGGAATGTGAAAGCCATTCCATTTTTCCTGGTAATTTTGTGGTTAGTTGTCCTGTCACAATCTAAATTGTGATACCAACTTGACAGATCACAAATACATTTCAACCTTGTGGTTTTAAACTAGGGCAAGAGCTTAAATATGTTTCAATACGCTTTTAAAAAGTTTGTATTGTCTTGTACGTGGCAATATAGTACTGTATCTCAGTATAGCATCATACTGTGCATTTGTTGTAGAAACAAATTCACAACTGGATTGTTCATACAGAGGGAGTATATTTAGGGAGTGCACATGTTTAAGATTAGAATATTTTCATCAATTTTGTCATGCTTGTTCCCTCAGTGCACAAAAAAACCCAGATATATGAACAGTTATTGATAATTCCTTTCTATTTACCATCGTAGCTTTAAAACACAAATAAATATTTTGCAATAATTTAATTATCCCTAATTTGCTTTCAATAAGGAGCTTTACTGTGCAGAATTTTTTTTACTAATTTTCTGTCAGCCTACGTAGCTTCCTTTTCCACCTCTCCCACCTCCCTCTGAAAAAAGAGGCTTAAATGCTGTGCTTTGTGTGATACAACTTTCTGATGCTCACATTAGGTATTTACTCCCTAAAAATGTTCCAGTGAAAATGGACTTTTCATCAGTTCCTAAATTTTTATTGGTATTTAATTATCCAGATCTGAGAGACAATAAAGTTAATGACATCTCAGTAGGATCTTTAGAGTGCTGTCGTTTCTGGTTTAGGGTGAAGATACTCCCTCTAACCACTATTTTCTTTATGCTAGAGGCATCTTTAGCCTGGCAAGGGGTCTTCCCATACGGTACCTTGATACACATACCTGTGTATGTGTGTGTGGAGAGAATATCCCTTTTTTTTTTATGCTCATATTCCATTATGAATGAAGAATCATCTTCATGTTCTGCAAGAATTCTGTATTCTTTACAGTTCTCAAGACTTTCAATATACATCTGCTTCCTTTTTTCCTTTTCAGAGTCAGCTCTTACAAAAGTCTTAGAAAAGGTGGAATAATTTTTAACCCTTAGATCCACCAGAAGTGTAATTTATCTAGAGATGAGATGAGGTTTTATTTTCCCTGCATTAGTTTTTAATTTGTGAGGCAAATAGAAGATAGCATCTATTTTCTATACTTTAATAATTTCAGTTTATTAATACGTGGATTTGAGTTGAGATGATGAACAAACCTCAATAATACCCTCAGGGCTGATTTATGGCTCATAGATTTCAGGATACATATTTCCATACTTCTCCTCTGCTCACGTAGCAGAGATTTCACAAACGGATGTTACAGTTTTTAGTGTTGTTTTAGGTGACCAGCAGTTTAGAATGCCAGAGTTGTCATAAAAAAATTATCATGATGGTACATTTAAGAAGCTAGGGTCTTTTTCTGAGTCCAGAAAATACATTGAAATCATCTTGTGCCAATATGCAGGAAGACTTAACAGTGGAGTTCCAGTTCTGGAGCTCTGGTCCTCTAAGAATATATGGCCAGCATTCAAGACCAGAATGTATTTCATGTGTGCGTATAAAAAGGAGCCAGAACTTGAGTCTTGTGAAGGCACATCCCTTGATTAGGCTTTGCTTGTGTGCCAGTCAGTCATGGTTTTCCAGTTTCTTGCAGGAAATGGGTTAAGCTGCTGCAAATACTACTTTCACAAGTAGAGCCTAGGATTGGTCTTGTCAATGAGTGGAAGTCTTGTAAACAGCACAGTTTAACACCAGGTTGAATTTGTGTGCTGCAGCTGTGTAATGTACTGTTTTTCTCTTATGGGATTGAAGTTTTAAAATCTTTATTTATGTTAATATGTTTAATTTTGTCTGGCTTCAAGACAGTGCCAAGAAGTCTTATCAGCAAAACAGTATGGAACAAAAATGGGAGGAGAGCTGAATTGTTATTGCAAATAATTTATCAAATAACAATTATGTTTATAAATCATATAATTTCTTTATTTTCTACATCCTAGGATACCAGATGGTCCCATTGATCAGGGACCAGCTGCAGGAAAGGTACATGCTTTAGAGGAGCAACTTTTAAAGGCCAAAGAACAGATAGAAAACTATAAGAAGCGGACAGGAGATGGTTGGTAGATAAGTTTTCTTTTAATTCTAAAACAAGTTTTGGTATTCAATATCACAAATGTATTACTTTCTTAACAAATAATTCAGCTACAAGTGCTGATACTTTTTTTTTTTTTTTTGTAATAATAGGAGGCCTTGGAAGAGACCATGAAATATTGAGGAGGAGGATTGAAAATGGGGCTAAGGAACTTTGGTTTTTTCTCCAGAGTGAATTGAAGAAGTTGAAAAATCTAGAAGGAAATGAACTGCAAGGACGCATTGATGAATTTCTGTCTGATTTGGGTCATCAGGAAAGGTACTTGTATTAGTTGATTCTGTATATATATTGTGAGGATTATGGGTTGAGTTAAGAAAACTACTGATATACTGCTTAAAAATCTCTGAGGATAAACTACTGGTGTGTGGGCTAAAATATCATGTCTGAAGTATGAACATAAAATTATTAGTAGTATTTCATGGAACATAAAGTATATATCCAGCTTATATCACTACAGCTTAGAATATGACCTTTTAACCTGACGTATTTTCGTTTTTTAATCAGAAGACCTGGGTCCTGGATGCCACTTGCTGCTTTTCAGTTGCACATATGTGCATACTTGTACATATAAAAAAAACATTAAAAAACCTTAAAAATATTTATTTTAGGTATCTGATTGTGCCTTTCATAAATACTAGAATATAAGATACATTGATCATTGGGATATTATATAATTGGAATTGCTTCAAAATTGGGTAATATCTTAATATCAGGACTAATTGTCATTCTGAAAAGTCACTTGTTTTTGTAACTAGAATTCAACAGAATATTTCAGATAGAAATGACCTTTAATTATACTGTCATTATTATGTTGTTCAAAGATGTGTTGGAATTATATTTTCAGTTGTTGTTGATCTTCTGGCCTCCCCATTGTTGAAGTACATTTTGTATTATACTAAAACATTCTGTATGAGTTTTGTTCATGCTGAACAAAATTAATCCAGGAAGTGTTAAAAATTCAGTAAAATCTGTCTGTAAGTCTATCATATTTATAACTCTGTTCCCAACAGGATTGCAGTGGCAATTTGTGTCTCAGTAGTAAACAATCACAAGAAAATAGTTGAATTAACTAAATATACCACCTTAAACAAGTAACTCTTTTCCTAAAAAGCTGAGATCTGCATGTGTGAACATCAGTAGTAAAGCATGCGCCTTCAAAAATAATACTGTAGTAAAAAGAAAAAACAGTAAAAATTTTCAATTCTTTGGAAATAATGTAAACATTATTTAAAACATAGTTTTAAAATAATATGAATTTGATTATTAATATGGGGAAATAATTTAGTTCATTAAATTTTGTGATTTAATCTTCCACAATTCCAAAACCCAGTTTGTCACAGATTGATGGAGTTTAAAGTGAGAAGGGACTATTCAATTATCGAGAATTATGATCTATATAAAACAGGCCATTACATTTCATCCAATTATTTCTCTGCTGAGTGCAATTATGTATGTTTGACTGAAATAAAAGTAGTGCTAGCTTGAAGCAGAATTTTCCAAAAGACTTGAGATCTTCAGTTTGACAGTCAACTGACAGAGAAGCTGCCATTTCCCTGGACAGTTTCTTTCAATAGTTACCTCCAGTCAGAAATATTCATTCTCCAGAGAAGTGATTTCCATTTGGGTTTCTTGGACTTTGGGTCATTGATTCTTGATGTACCTTTTAAACTGTCTGTGCCAAAACTGGAGCAAGTAGTCTAATCCCAGATTTAATGAAGTCCATCATGGGAACAAAATCACTTGTGTACACGTTACTCTCTGTTTATATAGCCAGCATCACATCAGGTAGTGGCCACAGTGGAACCTTGAATAATGTTGTGTGTTTGATGCCAGAAGGTTTTTATGTCCCTGTCTCCCAGGATGAATCATTTTCTTACTCCTTTCCTTCCTACACCAATGACTATTTATTCATTAAGCCCAACTTGCAAGTTTCTCTATTTCTCACAGCCTTGTCTTCACATCTCTCTGTACTTCAGGATGAGATTGAAACCCATACTAGAAATGCATACTCCTTTGCATTGAATAATAAAAGTCTGCATTGTAGACCTCTGGAAGTTATGAGATGAATCCCACTGTGGAAGTCTGAAACCACTGTGGTACTGGAAGAAGTATGTATATGATGCAAGCAATCACAGCCTCTCTTTTTTTTTTTTTCCTTTATTTGAGAATTTTCTTGTTGAATAAAAGTATTCTTTAGACTGACACAGTGGTTATCAGAAGCAGAATGTCCTGGAGTCTGTTGAGTCTTAGTAATAGATCTGTGTAGACCTTCCTGTGTGGTGAGGTCCCCAAAGAGGACTAAATAATTTAAGCAAAAACCAAACAGCCAGAAACTAGGTTTTATTAAAATAAAATGCAGACAATTTTTTTACAATATGGAAATTCAAAGTAATTGCATAAGAGAAAACAAATACAAAAATGTTTCTACAATATTCAGCCTGTGTTCTTGGTGTATTTACAACATTGGCTTTGGGCAATAAAATTATCTTGTGTTGCAGAATGCTCCTCTTGTTGCCTCTAGTTCCGAGGATGTTCATTCCTTCACCTTTGAGGTCAGGCTTTCCCTTTAATCTTTCAGTCTTGCTGCGTGAGTTGCAGGAGAGCTCCCAACTCCTTGTGTGCACGTCCTTTGGCCGGTGATGCACTGCTGTCTCTGGGTTGTTCTTTTCCCTTAGAATGCACAGTAGCTCACAAGGGAAGGAGTGGTCTCTTTTTCCCTCCACACAGTCCATCGGGTCTCTTCTCCTGGAAGGAACATAACATAAGTTTAGAATGAGCAAATCAGATGCTCTCATTCACTCTGAGAATCACAGCTTTTTGGTGGGGTTTTTTGTCATTGCTGGGGGTTCTTTTTTGAAGTACATGTGGACTTGTTGATTTTTTTAAGCGATTTAACAAGTTGCTGAATACCCGTTTGTTGACGGTTATGTCTTAAAAAATTGTTACCTATGTATCTTAGATAAATGGAACATTGCATGTGAAGCTGGTATTACTTATTTTTATATATATATATATTACATAAACGTACATCTTAGATATTGTAATACTAATATTTGGATTAGAAAAAATAGTGCTAATTATAAGTACTTAAGGCAGTTTGTAATGCCCTCCTTATGTGGGAAAGCAGATAAAGGGGTGGGTAGTGATCAAATGATGAGATAGCTATGTAAGGAAAGTGGCTAATATTTATTTTTTTTGTTTGTGAGGAAAGTCTGTTGTGTCATAGAGACAACTTGCTTTTTAAGAGATGATAGACTTAAAGACAGTTTCTGTGACTCTGGATAAGTAGTATTGGAGTTCTTTGTTAATCTTGGTGCTGTTATGGTCTACTACTAATATGATGGCACTTCTCTTGTTGGACGCCTTAATCACCATTTCTTGGCTGTGTCCTAGGGGTTGCGTAGATTTTCTCCTGGAGAATGCTGGTCTTGGCAGATGTTTTTGTCCAATATTTCACGACTGATTCTGGTTAAGAAACAATGTTGCCCAAAGCAGAGTTTCCTGCATTATGGAATGTGTAATTGTATTCTTGTAGCTGCCATAGGGAAGAGAGTTGTTGAAAGTAACTTCATCTTAACAGTGGAAAGACTATTTGATATAGAGTTAACAAAAAAGAACACGTTAATCCTCTAGTTGTCATGGTTGTTTCCTATGTTGGCATTATGTTGTTTGCAAAGTGGCTGTTACTGAATTAGTTTTGTTCCTTCTCCTCCTGGGGATCAGCTGTCATCAGGGCTTTTACGGTAGCTGGCCAAGGTTTAATGCGTAGTGCTTGGACACATTTTCACATTATTTCCTTTGACTTCGGTGGAACATATAACTATTTTTTATTTTGAGTTCCTTTTTGTTGACATAAAGTTTCTATGAGGTTTAAATGTAATTTTGTCATATGGCTGGCATAAATGTCTACACTGATCTTTAAAAATGTGTTAAAAATGTCTGCCCTCCCCCTTTATTTGTGACAATCAAATGCAGATGAAATACATAGCCAGATTCTTTACTCCATTCTGTTTTCCAGGAGCAAAATGCTTTTAAGAGCAGCTCCAAGATTTCATTTATGGTATGAAACAAAAATAACAACAACAAATTGATATTGTTGGTTAGTAACACAATGAAAGACCAAGTTTGACTTACTAGATATCTGCAACACCACTGTCTGAAATTGTCTTTCTGCCATTTCACCATCCACAATAGCCACTAATAATCCTGTGCAGGCTCATCTTTTGTTTGCGCTTAGCTATCTTGGGCTCATGGATTACTGGTCCATCTACTTTTTAGCTCTCCACATGGCACCTGACTCTGGTCTTTGGTATTAGCGTGTGTCTCTTCTAAATCTGTATTAATAAGCCATGATGATGGTCTGCCACACTCAAAAGAACCTAGCAGATGTAAACCTAAAAAACTGCATATTTCACAGCAGGAGCAATCAAAGAAAGAAGGTCTTTGTGACTGAAAGTGTGTTAAAATTGCACTACCCTATAATAATTTCTGTGTGATATCACCTGTGAATTTTTCAGTTCCTGGTTTACTTCAGAGTTTTATAAGAGTAAATTTTTTTTTAAAAAAGATTGTGGGTACTATCTGAAAACTCTTGCATGTATTCATAAAATTTCTCACAAATTATCTGATATTTTTTATGGTTTCTATTGAGCAAAGCTGCCTTTCCCTAAAGTGTTGAGTCACTGCGGCTGTGTAAGGACTCTCTCATCATTCCTCTTACCTCAAACATGATGTAAAATAATTATATTTCATCTGTAAAGCTGATTATTTAAAGTTACCTACTGCCTTTGCTTTGCCATGGTCACCAAGGCCAACAATATAAAAAGTGAAATTTGGACAACACTTCTTTTCCTTAGAAATAGGAAAAATTACTGAACTGCTGAGAGGGAAAACTTTTTTTTTTTTTTATTGTAGGCTTTGTATTTTCAGTCATTTTATGCCAAAATTTAATAGAAATATATTTCTGTAAAGTAAAAGGAGAGTATGCTGATTATTTATGTCACAAGTACAGAAAAGACTTTTTTAAGGCCAATGAAAGAGAGCATTTGAAAATTGTTTTAAATGTGGCTGTGGTTGCGTAGCTGCTTTTAATGATTGCACAGGATTTTTTTTTTTTTAATGTTTAAACCTCAAATTTATAGTTTTTCTTTAAACATCCAGCATGGTTGCATCCTGATTGGGAAGAAAAATATATTTAAACTCCCAAGAAAATGCATGGGTTTCCTTTTTTTAATTTGCCTACTAGCCTGTAATGCTTTCTATAAATTGGAAAACACTGCTTTAAGAGAAGCAGACTCTGTCTGTTCAGTTATTTGTGTATAATCCATTGTATTAGATCTACTGCAACATTAATTCTGTTCTAATTGTGTCCCTAAACTGTGCTTTCATGTTATTTTGAGTATTATGCATCTTTAAAAGTTACTGATTCGAAACTAGTTACCTGATAATACTTTAAATTGTTTATTTTTCATACAAAGCTAGAGGAGAATGTTTCAAGCTCAGTTACCTTGTAAAAGAAAATCCAGCTTATATAGTTTGAGATTAGAATGTAGATATGGTACTTCCAATTGATTGACAGAAGGTGAACATTACTGCTGCTGAACAATTTGGGTATAATGTTTAATACAGCAACAGTAGATGATATAGTAAGTCAGTGTCACTGTTATCCTGTGTATAAGTATGGGTATGAAAAACAGAATAAGTGTATGAGAATGGAAAGATATGGATCCATAAATCCAGTTATTAGCGAGAGAAGGTTGTCTGCTAACTGCTGATAAAGATAGCTCTGTCCCAATTTGATTTATCTCAATATTTACGGCTTAAATATTGTGTCATTGGAAATAATTACCTAACAGAGAGATGTTGTCTGATCCTCCCTCACTTGCTAAGCTTATTTATAAGGGATAGCCTTAGCTAACTAGGTTTGTGGTTCCAGTACTAACAAGTGCTGCCAAAAACGGTGTCCTGTATTACGTCACTGACAAGACCACTTCAAAGGTTGTTAGGAAATATGGTTGTCTTCTTGTCATGGATGACACACCTCACCTTACACTCTTTTTTTTTGTCACCTCCTAAATTTCTCTGCCTTTGTTCTGTTGCAGCTCTTCCTAGTGATCAAAATTGTGGCTTATCATTAATTTCAGGCAATAAATTGCAATATCTAAAGTTCAGATGAAAAAATTAAGAAAAGTGGTTCAAAATTAAAACTTTAGTATTCTTATGGAGAAATCTTTAGCAACTTTAGATATTCTCAGTCTGTAAAGCCAACTCTGAAACTATTGGTTCTGAATTGTGCCACCTGTTACTTGTAGAATAGCCATTAATGTTTTTGCAAATATTTTGAATAGTTTGCCTCTAGTTTTGTATTTGCTCCCAAAAGCCACAGATATAAAAAAAATCTTTTCCTGGGTGTTACTGTTTGGGCTGTTTTTCACAAAATTCCTGGCTAATGTCAGAAAATAAAAGTTTTATACCATTTTTCTTCTCATGATATGGAGTTCATCATCCTCTTATTTGGCCACCAAAATGTGATAACCCTACGAAGAGGACCTCTAGTGTATTAGATAACCTCAATTTAATATTTGATAGTGACTCAAAATTAATGTTTTGTAGTGTAGACTTGTAATATGACCATGAGTCTGTTTTGAATTTCTTATTTTTTAATTTTTTTTCCATTTGACTATTAGTAACATGCAGTCATTCTAAGCAGGCAAAACTCTTCCTTCTTCCAGAGTCAGAAGGAGCTACATGCCATAGAAAATACTCTTGACTAAACCTTGTAATAATATTCTGTAGTTAGTTTTCACTAAAAAAAATAGAAGGATTACTGTTGTACCTGTGCTAAAGACATTTGTAATATTATATTCTATACAAGCATAGTGAGATGATTGTGGGAGGCAAAGTAACAATGCATTATAATAGAAGCTACTGTAGGAATCAGTATTGCACTTTCATCTGGGGCCACTGGATAATGTATCTAGCATGGAACTATTCTTTTTTAGTTTCCTTTCGCACATACCAGAAACAAATGCTTTAGAGCAATTTTTCTAAGCCATCTCCTGTTTAATACTATAATTACTCATGGGTATGGAACATATGTTATCTGGAGGACAGTCAGTCTTTCTTGGCTACTGTTTGGATTGTGGGGTAGGAGGTGGCATGAAGAAACTGTTTTTGAGGCTATAATTGAAATATCTGTTTAATTTGTCTTTAATTTCATCTAATCCTCTAATCTAGTAATGTTAAGATTGTTTCCCATTTTTTAAGATTGTTTTCCATTGTTGTTTACAGGTCAATAATGACCGACTTGTACTACCTCAGTCAAACAGATGGAGCAGGAGACTGGCGAGAAAAAGAGGCCAAAGATCTAACAGACTTGGTACAGAGGAGAATAACTTATCTACAGGTAAGAGGGTAGAGCTTTTAAATCAAGTTAAACGTTTTTTTTTTTTTTTTTTTAATATATATAGCACTTAGCTATAGCCTTGTAATAGAGTAATTACATGACAGTTTTAAGCAAATGTTTGTATATGAATGAATTATATACAAAAGAAATTAGAACGTTTGTTTCAAACATTATTTTATATATATACGGAATGATAATATTTCAAGCAAATCTTTGGGTTTTGGGTTTTGTTGGTTTTTTTTTTTTTTTGTTGGTTGTTTGTTTTCTGGACCTGTGGTTTTCAACTCCTTGAGAACGGTTCCTTATTCTTTCATTTTTGATGTCACTGTTTGACAATGGTGTACTTTAACTACTTTTCATGCTGATAAATATGGCCTTTCTCTACCTTCTTCTCTTCTTTCACTGTATCCATTTGTTGTCTTATCTAAGCATGTATGTATTTCTGGAGAGTGATTGTCTTCCTATTGTATGTTCTACAGTGTTCAGGGCCTTAGTTCAAGACTAGGACCTCCAAGTACATACAATGAATAACAAAAGTAAAAGGAGAACAGCAGCTCAAAATTGAAGCATGAAATAAATGCTTGCATTGGTTTCAAGTGAATTTGAAATAAATTTACTTACTGAGCAAAGAGCTGGGAGCCCAATTAGCTCCTTCTAAAATTTATTTAGATGCGTATAGTCTATGATAAAGGGCTTTCTCTCTATAGAGGTAACTTATTCTCATTTAAAAAAATGTAGAAAAAATATTAAGAATGAAACCAGTACCAAGTCACAAAACATATAGAATCCTAATATTTCATATTTGTAGCACAACTGGTTAAAGCCTTTCAGAAAGTGTATTGTATCCTAAGGCACTTCCAAGAAAGGTAACCACCCTCATTATCCTGAGAAGGAAACCTGATGATGAGCACGAGCAGGTGACTTACAGAAAGTTGTGGCATTAGGTTCAGAATTAGAATTAGATCTAACATACTTGACTCGGTTTCCATCATACAGGCCATTTTTGTTTCTGTTTTATGTATGATTTTTTTAAAAAGGAATCAATAATAAAGTTTCTGTCATAGGAAGAATGGAGTGGTTTTTTTCTATTTATGCATTTAAAATATAAAATTAATCATTATGGATTCATCCCATAACACTGAGAAACACATAAGAAAATGAGTATTTCCCTTCTTTTTTTAAGTTCTAGTACTTTCTATATTACAGAGGAAATTACATTGTTTTTTGTTTTTAGTAAGTTATCACTGGTAGATTATAGAAATTAGAAACATATAAATGTATTACTGCAGCGCATCAAGTTCCGTATGATTGTTTCGCATGGAAGGATCTAGAAACTATACAGAAGGGACATGTGTTTCCTTAGTAATTGTCTTTGAGGTTTATTTAAGTTGAAGAATGGCGATACGTATTTTCCAAAAAATGTAATTCTAGCTATGATAAATGTTGATATTTTTAGCATTATAACTGTGCAGGTCATCAAAAATAGCACTAAATTCTTGGGTTTAGCAAATATGCGGCAACACATTAAAAATTATTTGGGTATTTTATGAACAAATAATATTACCCTGTTTATTCTATGTGTCTTTTAGGTTAGTTGGAACATTTTAGCTGTATTGGATGCTCAGTTTTTGTTGTACTAAAATGTGAAATAGAAATATATGTTGAGCTTTTTCTCACTAAACTATTCTTTCATATGCTTACTGTGTTTCTTTTTATTAATCTCTTTTCAGGCTAAACGTAACTAAAATTTACAATAATTCGTCATGTGTGAGAATTTATAATACCTTTAATTTTTTCTTCCTGATGTATTTCCTTAACGCTAATTCTTCACCAGGCTATTAGAATTGAGCATCCACTAGTTGACAAATGACGATAGACAATATATTCTATAAATCTATTGATTTATAGAATAGCACCAACATGTTTTTTTCTTATATTGTTTTTTATGCAGTCTAAGGTATTACTTAGCTAATAATAGCTCTCCTTTGAGTTCATGTCACTGTGGAGCTATTGAAAATGATGCCCAAGATTTTTTAATTCAACTGAATTTTGAAACTTGAATACTTTTTCTTCCACTATGCTTACTTTAAATTTAGTTATCAATACAAAATTTCACTTGTCATGAGTCATGTTTGCTTTGGTTAGTTTCTTCTGGAATTCATGACAATCTTCTCTAGACTTGACTTAATTTAAAATTTTTCAGATGTTTGATTTAATGGCTTTGCCTTTTACCAGTTCTTCCATGTTTCATGCATGAAAGTACTAGTCCTGCTAAGATAACTAGAGGCCATTTCTCTGTGTGTTTGCCATTTCTCGCTCCTTTTTATAATCTGGTTTTGATCTTTGATCACACTTTGTCCATTACTCCACGACTACTTTTGTTTCTTTGAAGGTTGTTTGCTAAAAGACCAAAAAAAGAAAAAAAATCAGAAAAATTACACTGTAGGAAGAAACTGTGGATAGGATGGTTTGGTGCCTACATATGTTTATGGATGATCATTTACCTCCAGGCATATACTATTACCATCATTCACATAAAAGATTCAAACCCCGAGGCATGGTAATTCTCAATGTGCCCAAAGTTGGGGTGGAAACCTAGCCAACTCTTCAAAGATAGAAAATATTCTTTTTCATGAGTAGTTACAGTCTTTGAGACGGGTCATTCACATATACAATTACTACCCTGTCTTTTCCTTTTTATTCTCATTCTTCTGTCTGAAAAAAAACGAGGATGAATCTCTTGCCTACATGCCTGTAAGCCAGACATAAGCTTTTGGAGTCCTTCTAAAGATTAAAATATCTCCTGTCTTGAATGATTGTTGCAAGTAATGATCCAAACATGAAATATGTCTGTGACTACACATTTGGAAGTCAAGTTGACTTATTTTGTAGTGTGTTTCAAGATTTTGAAGAGTACAGGGCTGACTGTGAGTATGCAATGTAAAGCAGTCCATGGACTGAAATGACACATATAAAAATAAAATAAAATAAAATAAAAAATTCAACAACCCTTGTCCCCCAGCTCCCTGCCAAAAAGACCTATCTGGAACATATTTGTAAATTTTTTTCTTTTTTTTTTTTTTTTTTTGTGAAGAATGAAAGTACTGTATCGTTTTGTTTCTGGTACATGTTGAACAGCGACAGCTGCATTATTTTGGGACATCTCCCTGGGAAATCATTTAGCTGAATGATTGTGAATTGTGATGACTGCTACTTCATTTGGATGGCATTACCATAAATTTGATTTAATGAGGCTACATTTAGCTAGTTCCCTGTAGTTAGAGCAACACTTAAAAAGCTAGAAGGTTACATTTAAGCAAAAGACCTTATTTTCAGAAACGTTCATTATCAAACGATTGAAGAGAATGTGCAGGAGAAGTCAGACAAGGGCTCCTGTAGTACTGTGTATTCTGCAAGTGGTGGAATGAGTAAATGATTATGAAGGCAGCAGTTTGTTTTCTTCCCCTTTCCTTTTGTGCTTATTTTTGTTCTATTTATTTTAGGAAGTTTGTGATCCAGCACGCAGTCTCCCAATAGCAGAATATTTTTGCCTCCTATTTTTTAAAAAATCAAAACATTTTGTTCAAGTTTGGAGGTTAAAAATATAAGCAGGTGAGAAAGGTTACTAAGTACTCAATAGCATCATCAATTATAATTGTCATAATTTGCCATATTCATACTATTTAGTTGGGGTTGTGTATGCATGCAAAGAAAAGGAAGTTGCTTACAAGACTTTATTCTGAGGTTTCTGGATTTCCCAGTATTTTTGGTGATTGAATGTGTCACTTAAATTTTTCTGTCTTAAAGTGTATTAAATCCAAGTACTCATGCTAAAATGACAACAACAACAAAAAAGGCTCTGAACACTCTGCATGTGTGCAAGGGTATGTACCCTTCACAACTGTAAGTCTTGAAAACTTGAAATTTGTATCCTTCGATAAATCAAATCTAATGTATTGTATCTTTTCCCAGTTATTCCACCTCACTCATGAGAAATGAATTGTAGTGTGTTGTGGCAATTGAGGTGTGTTGTTGGTGTTGATAAATTCAAACTAATTTGAAACAAAGGCAAAAGTAAATTCCATATTGGAAAAAGTCTCATAGAAAATTCCCCATCAGCATTTACTTTTTTTATGGGGAAGGAGAACACTAGCTGAAGTACTTCAGTTATGTGTCTGTATGGGCACTGTTCTGGGAGAAGAGATGATTTCTTTAATGGGCAGACCTTGTAGCACTTTGGTTTTCCTGTGGTAGACTCAGCATCCTTAGGTTTATTTGAAAGCTTTCTGGCATTTACTCCAAATACATAGAATCCTGATAATTCAGTTACTCAAGGAGAAAAATTTCATGAATGCTGGTTCTAGTTTCTGAATAGATTTAAGAAGTAGACCTAGGAATAGCACACTTTAATAGTCTCATCTTGAAATGATAAAGGCAAGATTAGATACTGGCAAGGCAAACAGTTGAAAAAGGCCATATCCTTAAGCTTAACTGAGATGTGTTCCTGTCCGTAAGTGCTACTTGCTTACTTAGGGAATACAGGTCCAGTCAAGATTTATGGTTATGAATTCATAATACTGACACACTTTGGCTATGTCTTCTAGTTGTCTTAAACTTAACTATGTCTATTATTAATTTGGATAAACTTCAATCATTTGACTTACATACACTCACTCATTTAATTATAAATTAATCAGTGCCACTAGTGGTCAACAGAATTGAAAGGAGGTAATGACTGTCATGTGGTTGTCTATATCTAAGGCGAAGTAATTGAACAGAACAATTAATAGATTCTGTCTGAGAGGTTTACTCACAGACTAGTAAGGCCTAAAAATGTAGCATCTAGCAGATGGTTATTGTTACCTTGTTACATTCTTTGCTACAGCATCATCATTCTCTTAATTTTCTTAATGAAGATTTTTCTGTGGAAATAAGTGGGGAAGGTAGAGGCAAGAAACTCTTAGTGCATCGACTGGACAAGGCTGAAGTTTGCACTTACC